GGATTTGAAAGGTCCCTCCCCACCCAAGTCATTCTCTGATCCTGAGTAGATAGAAACCAGAGAGCAGGTGGCTGAAGCTCACTTTCAGTTTGAGAAAGCAGCAGATAAATCCTGCTGTGAAGGCACAGTCCACTGGCTCAGTGCCCTTGCTGGTAAGGGAGGAATACTCCTCCTACACCTTTACTAGAGGGCTTGGAAGATGCAATTCAGGTGGCAGGACAAGCCAACTCCACCCTCCCTCAATGTCACCATGCAGACAGAGCTGGAGCTGCCAGTTCTGCCTCTGCCATGCAGCCAGATCCCTCCCTTCTGTCACCTTCGTTGCACTTTTGGTTTAGTAACTGCAACAAGGTTTTGTAGAGCCCTGGACCTCTAAGGATTGCACAAAAAACTGTAAGGTGGGGCCACAGCCACCAAAAAAAAAGGTTGTGGGAATTGCAGGATGTGTCTTCAGTGACAGGAACCTGAACATAAGAGGGTTTGAGGAACCCCATTTCTGATACAACCTCAGGCAAGGAGTTCAGTAAAACTCTGTGGGGATGTGGAAACCCTGAGTTCACCACCAGCATGAACACTTACCAGCCAAGTAGAGTGTGTGAGAATTCTTGTTCTCTGGCACTTTATCTGACCTCTCACAGGGCTGCATGCCCAAGAACTTGATGATGTTATTGACAGCTTCTGCATTCAGAGATGGAAGAAGAAAACAAAGGTCCAGGTTGGTGACAAGCTTTCTGTGAGAACTGGTTTGCAATTTAAGAAAGTTCTCTGAGCATCTAGGTGGTTTAACAGCTTCCATTCATCTTGGTCACAGCCCCACCAACAGACCTGCTCTGCCAGGTCCCTTCTGCTGTCTCAGCAGCCCAGGAATGCTCCTCTCCCTCCAAGCAGGGGAGCACTGCCAAGCTTCCCCTCCCTGGAATCCCACTGTTGCAACACAAAAAGCTTGTTGCCAGGACAGAATGTCATGTTGGAAGGCACTAAATTCTCCTCTTACCACAGTAAACATACAGATCTATGTAGAATCATAGTGTCATTAAGGTTGGAAAAGATCTCTAAGACCATCAAGTCCAACCATCAACCCAACACTCCCATGACCACTAAACTGTGTCCCCAAGGGCCACATCTACATGGTTTTTGAACCCTTTTGGGGCTGGGCACTCCAGCACCTCCCTGGGCAGCCTGGGGCAATGTCTCACCACTCTGCCAGGAGAGAAACTCTGCCTCATACCCAATCAAAACCTCCCCTGGTACAATAAACTCATTTCCTCTTATCCCATTGCTGGTCATTTGGGAGAAGAGACCAACCCCCACTTCCCTCCAGCCTCCTTTCCAGGGGGTTGTAGAGCAATAAGATCTTCCCTCAGAGGGAGAGAGAGAGGTTTTACTCCCTTTACCAAGTTTACTACATGGGTCACTAATAAAAGATGAGAGACCATCTCACCATCAAGGGTTTTAATGGAACTAAGTGCAAAGGTTTCTTCTTTCTCAAAGTCATCTCCCACTTCTTCCCAGGCAGCTGCAAAGTTGGGCTTTAGAACCTTCTGAATATGATCAGACACTGTCACCTCCAGATCTTCCAGCTGAAACAAAAACCAAGGGAGATTTTCAGCTGACAGTAACAGAAATGAACCTATTCTTAGAAAGGGAAATAAAGACAAAGAGACAGCAGCACTGTGCCAAGAAACTCTGTCATGCCTGGCTTTAATTACAGGAAAAGCACATAATAACTGCACCTAAAAAAAAAAAAAATGAATAAAAAGTAGTATTTGTAGTGGTTATGTGTAAAGCTTAAAAACATTTACTCAAAAATATCTGCAAGATTAAAGGAGAGCAGAAAATGGGAAGAACACTTTGGGAGTCAAAACCCATTGCTGCCTTTACTGGGTGTCTGAGGAGAGAGACTTGCTCAGAATCAAGGAGCTTTTGTTTCCTCCAAGCCCAGAAGACAGGAACCTTCCTGAGATCTGACTTGTAGTTCTGTGCTTCCTCTGCCCTAGTGAGGGCACCTCGGGAGTACTGGGGCCAGTTCTGGGCTCCACAGTTCCAGAGAGACCAGGAGCTGCTGGAGAGAGTCCAGTGGAGGCTGTGAAGCTGCTGAGGGGCTGGAGCATCTCTGTGCCAGGCCAGGCTGAGAGCCCTGGGGCTGCTGAGCTGGAGAAGAGAAGCCTCAGAGGGGATCTGAGCAGTGCTGAGCAAGAGCT